AATTTTCTTTATTACAATGATAATTATTATGAACAGTTATATTGCTATTTTGCAAATTGTCAAAATGTACATTTACTTTGTCTTTCACTACAAAATTAGTGCTGCCTAGACCAGCGACCGGTCTGTGAATTTGTATTGACTCTTATGGCACCGGTGCGTGAAATAAATCCCATAAGAAAAGCATGGCACTTCACACACCGATTCGTGAAATGAAGCTTTACACATTTTTATCGATGTGTCAAGTTAGTAATTCACATACGGGAGTAGAAAAAAATACATCACGGTTGCAGTGAGACTGTATTGTATCCATATCGCAAATACAATTAATCAAGAAGTATGGAATCAACGTTACCATGGCAACTCAGTCAATTTTTCGAAATAGGAATCAATAGGCCAGTAGGTGGCCAGTAGCCATATTAACTGTCAATTTGTGTAATCATACATAATTCATTAGTGATTTCAAAATGAATTCTAGTGATGAAGAAAGTGTGAATTGTACTCCACCAGAAATTAGTAACGCAGCTGAGGAAGCAAAATCGAGTTTATTGCCAAGTAAATCAAAAAAAATATACGACAAAGTATACGAAGAATTCGTAAGCTGGTGCGACAGAAATGATGTAAAAAATAAGAACTACACTGAAAGTGTGCTTCTTGCCTATTTTCTGGAAAAATCAAAACCTCGTAAGCCCTCTTCCATGTGGTCATATTATTCCATGTTGAAAGCTACTTTAAATGTACATGATAATAGAGATATTAGTAAATATTCAAGGTTGATAGCTTTTTTGAAAAGAAAATCTGACGGTTATAAACCAAAGAAATCGAAGATTCTAAGCAGAGAAGAAATAGAGTTATTCTTGAGTGAAGCACCAGACGATATTTTCATGCTTTCTTAATGTCAAGTATGATAATTTGAAACTTTGTTGTAGGTAGCACTGATTTTTGGTATTTGTGGAGCATGTCGCAGACAGGAATTGGCAAATATCACAGTAGATGACATTCAAGATTTCGAGAATTTCTCACTCATAACTATTATAAGAGAAACCAAATCGAAGATAGATCGAGTATTTACTATACTGTCATCGATAAAGAACAGAAATCGCCAAGTTATCTAGATACTTACAGAAAATATTCTTCCTTGCGAGTTCAGAATTATGATCAAAAGCGATTTTTTTGTATTATAAAAATGGCAAGTGTTCGAGACAGGTCATCGGAAAAAATACATTCGGTCAAATACCATTTAGAATAGCAACTTATCTAGGTCTTCCTAATGCAAAAGAATTTACTGGTCACTGCTTCAGACGTTCTTCAGCAACTATATTAGCAGATGCAGGCGAGGATATAATCAACATTAAAAGACATGCTGGGTGGAAGTCGACAACTGTTGCGGAAGGTTGTATCGAAAATTCTGTTGCAAATAAGCTGAAGATTGCTAAAAAAATCGTAGCAAATGATGAGCCTTCTACTAGCCATTGTAGACAATCTGAAGATATTGCTAACTACTCTCAACTACCAGATACTACTAGCCATTGTAGACAATCTGAAGATATTGCTAACTACTCTCAACTACCAGATAATGGAATTACTTCTTTTCAGAATTCTAGTAATATGGAATCAGTTGGAATCAGCTACCTGCAACAGCAGAAGACAACAAATCCAAATATATCCATAACTAACTGTTCTGATTGTATTATAAATATTAAGTTATAACTCGTTATTTATGTTAAATTGATTCGTTTTATTATTGTTAATAAAGTTTTGGGTTTGATCATATAATTTTGCATTACAGAAATATAAAGAAAACTTCAATATTCAAATGAGCACTCCTGTATAGTTCAGATCTATTTTCCCAATCATTTTGCATTAATTGAAACCATTGGAATCTAGATTTCTATCGATATGACAGTAACATTAGTTTTACCACAAGCTCAATGACTTTATCGCCCGCCGGGCGGTAAAGTAGTCCGCGGGCGGTAAAGTGCCACTTTGCGCCCGCAAACCCGGGCGGTAAAGTGATACTTTACGCCCGGTCGTGCATAAATTATATTCATTTAGCTGAACGAAATGAAAAAAAAACGTAACAAAAAAGAACATTTTTATTTTTCTTAAAAAACTCAAAGCATAACATAAAAAACATGCAATTTTTGCAAAGCAAACTGAAACTATTGATTGAACGGAAATTTATAAATACTAATGCAAGTTATAACTTATTCAGAATCTTTATTTGAGGCGCTATACAGTTCGCAATTTTACAAAAAAAAAGCAACAATTTCCATTGCGCGCATTAGGGTCATTTTGGACAACAAGGAATTGTTCCAGACCTGTTTATATTCCGAGAGTTTATATTGCTGATGCATTTCTAGTAATAAAATGATGGATTTTCGGAATTTCATGCATTGAATTTATGCATCATTAGATGCACATTGGATGTTACTGTTCTCATGGTTTCTTCTACCCAACCCAAAACTCAGTAAAAAGTTAATCTCTGGTAAAAGTCCATTTTGCTCAAAGTGGAGTGAAATATTTCAAAGGAAGGAAGGAATGCTCGAAGTCATCTCCACAAATTTTAATGATGTTGTTACATAATCATAAGGGACATGTTTCGGTCTCATGAAAGACCATCTTCAGCCTAATTAAAAGTTGTGGAGTTGGATAAAAAATTGTATGCTACCGTTTGTTGAATTGTTGTCGATGCCCATAGTCCAGAATTCGAATTCTTAATGAAAAAACAGGTTCTCAATAAATAAAGGGCCCCGTGCCCTGAGAGCGCATACTATCATTTGCATTGAAATTTCATATACCAAAATGGTATATACAGGGTGTCCCATAAACATACCGACAAACTTCATGGGGTGGTAGAGGACATCGAAATAAACATTTTTGCTCGATAAACATTAGTCCGGAAACCCGTCGTCGTTTCGATACAGGGTGTTAAATTTTTTTGAAAAATTCGATTTTTTATTAATATCCTACAAATGATCTGATCGAATTTAATGAAATTTTTACAGATTATTGATACATTTTTGAGGTATCTTTTGGAGCTATTAGAATTTGCCCAATAATTTCAGGGGCGTGCCCACGGGCTATGTCGGATAGTTTTTGCACAAAAAAAAATCGCACAGTAGATTTTTTGTAATTATTATTTTTTTTTCAAATGAACAACTAAAAATGCAACTTTTTTGTCCATTGAAATTTTTCCGACTCTTCCTTCGTTTTGAAGGAAAAAAATAAAAACCATATCTCTTACATCTACATATGAATTTTTTTTGTTTACTTAATAATCATAATGTCCGTTTTGGCAGAAAAAAATGAAAAAATTTTGGGTGAGTTTTGTTTATTCAGTGTTAAATAATCAATATTAATTTACAAAAAATATTCCACTTTGTGTTAACGATAAATAATAATGGTTTATAATAATTGTTCAAAATGTTGACCATTTACTTCAATGCAAAGATTGCCTCGTCGGTTCGTTCATACGATATTGATGAAAAATCGATTTTTTTTTTAAATTTCAACACCCTGTATCTCGAAAACGAAGAGTTTCTGGACTTATGTTTATCGAGCAAAAATGTTTATTTTGATGTCCTCTACCATCACTTGAAGTTTGTCGCTATGTTTATGGGACACCCTGTATGTCAAGGGTATTGCCAAAAGGTTTGTTTTGACGACACCATAAATTAACGGGTTTTTTAAAAAAGGGGTTCCCAGTGCACTTATGAAAGCGATACTTGAAGAAAATATCAAAAAAATTGATGGAGCAAACAGCCAGCACGTGTTTGAATTAAACACGTGCCATTTTGGTTTATGGAATTTCAATGAAAATAATAGTATGCGCTCTCAGGGCACGGTGTCCTTCATTCATTGAGAAATCGTTTTTTCATTGAGAATTTGAATTCTGGACTATGGGAATCGACAACAATTCAACAGTAGCATCAAACAATTTTTTTTTCAACTCCAAAACTTTCATTTAGGCTGAAGATGGTCTTTCATGAGACCGAAACAGGTCCCTTATGATTATGTAACATCATTAAAATTCCTCCCTTGCAGTAAAAAGTATTACACATAATTTATGATAAAGAGGACATTGTCTACATAACTACATAGTCTACATATTATTTTTGCTGGAAATATGAATATGATATTTTTCCACAATTATTTTGGCATACGAATCGTGTTTTTAGACTATTCATTAATTTGGGCATGCCATCACATTGTGCTGTTGTACAATGCACAAAAAATGCAGCGAGAGACGAAGGAATCCGGTTGGTACATTATGATTTGAAAATAAGTTCCTACTATAGTTGAAATTTCGTAATTTCTCATCTGAATTCCCTTTGCAATAGGAGCTAATAGAAAAACTCGTGAAATTTCTAAAAGAATGCAATCAAACGGGAGGACTGGTCTGACATGCTGACGAAATATGGTCGTCTGTGTGTTGTAGCAATTTTCAATCTATTAGCAGCATTACCTTCTATTGCAGATGTGGCAGAAGGAATTTTAATAAGAAATGACAAAATTTCATAATGAAAACTATGTGAGGTTACTATTCATTTGAAAAATCATACTCTTTCGTCTCTCGCTGCATTTTTTGTGCATTGTACAACAACACAATGTGAATGCATGCTTGAATTAATGAATAGCGCAAAAAACACGATTCGTATGCCAAAATATTGTGAAAAACTATTTCAATCTTTTGATTCCTCTGTGAACAAATAAAAAAAGTGAGGTTGTGTTTCAATGTTTTGTTTTACCTCCAGGGTCATCGTGCACGCGACCTATGGAAAATTGCTGTAAACTGTAAAGCAGCTCTTAGAAAATGTCAGATGCCATAGGATATTTCGGCTTAAACTAGTTTGAATTGAAAGTAAAATAAGTCATTTGAACTAAATCATGAATTGAACCACTGACATTCACATGAATTAATTCCTGCTAACCCTGTTAAAAAATAACCACCTGTAACGTGAAAAATGCAACTCAAATAATGATTTATTATCAGGATTAATTCAATCCTGTTTATGTACACATTCTTTTTCGTGTTGAGAGAGCAATTTTAGTTTTTCAGTGAATTCACAACCATTTTTGGAATATAGACAAGCGAGCACTACTTCATCTGCCAAATTTTCCAGAGGGAAACATCTTGATTCTCCAAGTTTTATTCTACAAGAAGGACATTCAGTCAGCTGAATTTTGCAATTTTTGCACAATACATGTCCCTTTTCGCAGTTATAGATTTTATCAACCATGTACTCCATACATATGGGACAAAGTAATTGCCTTTTAAGCTTTTCCAAACATTCATCGACGATGTTCACTTCATTCCTAGGATTTTCTACTATTGCAGTGTCGCTAGATGTTTCTTTGTTGTTATTCCTATATTCCTTATTCGGAACGATTTTTATTATGTATCTAATCTCGGAAATATCACCAAAAAGAGATTTCACGGCAGCAAGATCGACTTTCTTGAACAAAATATCAACAGGAGCATTGTCTCTCACTTTGTCATGGGGATAGCCACTCAAATCACATTTAGAACATATACATCTAAGACAGTGATTTCTCTCATCATATTCGCTGATTGGCTGATTCTTATACGTGACAAAAGTATCATTTCGTGTGCTGATTAGTTTCAAATCGTATGTGAAAACTTCATTGATTTTTTTCAAAGAAGCAACATTTATCTCTGACATTCCTTTAAATGTTGTAATTGTTGTAATGAACTGGAAATTATTGTATATAACAAAACTTATCATAATTCTAGAGGCCTCTATTAAATAATTGAAAGTTTCATAATAAATATTCTTCTCATGATAACGTTTACAGTGCTCCTCCAAGTTTCGCACTTGAACAATGCCTTCGCATTCTTGGTAATAAATTGGACATTTAATCGTCTTTTTATCACAAGCGTCTTCATGACTTTCCACCTCTTTCCATGGAATCATTTCATTGCAATCTTTGTATATGCAAGGAAATGAGAAGTCCATCGCAACATTCTCAAAAGTGAAATTTCTACAAATCGATGGTTTCTCATTGTTGTTTTTACACCTTCCACATTTCGATTGCTTTCCATTTTCAGAGAGCACCATTATGGGCAGCACTGATAGAAAATTGTTGCACAGGCAGCACTTCATCGATACCAACTTATTTTGGAGTTCCAGTAATTCAGCCATAATTGTCTAAAAAAAAAATATATCCCTATCTATACTGTATCTATACTCACGCCCTGAAAATTTTCACATATAATATCACAAGAGCTCAAAACATTTCCAGGACTAATTTACGCTCGTATGGTATTCGGCAAGAAAATTCCATGAATTATATAAACCTGACAATTTTTAATTAATTTCACTGGTTGCGAAATAGGCCAGGTATTGTTGTTGATGACATAATAATTATATGTTGATTTCTCATATCTGTTAAAACGGTTCTGTCAAACAGATAGTACCCAGATACAACCACAAATTCAAGCCAGCCCATAACCATATATAATTATCAATAATTGTATTTTTAATATTGATAATGCCTATAGGAATGATATTAAAGTTGTTGCAGTACCGCGATTATTTTGTTAATAGCATACCTAGCTAAAGATAGTTCAAAAAGAAATATTTGTACACAATGAAATTTAAAATGTAGGCACACCTATATCCACCATTTTTCGTTGAATAATCAGTATATTATACAACGAGAGCATAATGATGACTATTACCCACGAAGATGAAAGTTGCAGTACGAGCCGAAGGCGAGTGCAGTAGTCATCTGAGTGGGTAATACCCATATGCACAAATAGAATACTATACATTATCATCTACAACTACTATTCAAATACCAAAGCAACTTTTGGAGTTCAGAAATATATATCTTTGAGAATGATTGTAGATTGTTTCATTAGTATCAAAAGTGACACTTTGTTTGACAAGCGAATTTTGCATTTGCGAGGCGGAGCGTTTTAGTGAAGCCGGGCGAAAGCAAAATTTGCGAGTCAAACGAAGTCACTTTTGGTCCGAATGAAACATGCTATTTTTTCTGCAACCGAAACAATCAACTCAAATAAATATGTGGAGTAACCACCAATGCCGTGCCATATGTATGCAATGCAACAAATAAATAGTCGGTGTGGTGAGAATATTCTACCTGTATCAACAGCAGGTTTATTCAATTTTCAAGGACGTTCGAATTGTAGTTTCAATATAAATACAACCACAGAGTGACATATTTGTGTATGGACCAGGTGCTCTAATGGCAAATACCGCGCCAGGTATAGGAACAAGACGTGGAAAATGTTAGGTTAGTGAGCATACCAACAATAATGATAGCGATTATTCATTCCTCTCCATACTACATTGTGTTTGACTTGATAATCAAATGGAGGTAAACAATATCATTGTTTGAGACAAAAACATATTGCTTGCCGTGAATACAGTGTGTCCCACTTACCATGCTCACCATGGGTATCTTTTTAACGGTGAGAGATACGAGGTCGATTAAATGACACCAAATGTGGAGTTTGTCAAGGCCAACTATAATGTGAAAAAATATTTTGATAAAATCTATTCGTTTTTGTTTTATACGCAAAAAACAGATTTTGATCATTTTCATGTCTCATCCGTAACTTCTTTATTTATGAAAATATTCAAATAGGAATTTCACATTCTCATGGCCGTTTTTCAAAGTGATTTCGAAAAAAATATGAAATTTATACCAACTCTTCTAGAATTTGAGATATCAGCACCAATTTCAGTTTTTCAAATGTAGGTCATAGCTCACTATGACTTAGTTACGAATAACTTTTTTTTCTCTCACAGATGATATGTCGCAGTAATAGTTTTGTGTTGATAACAACGGAGTTATCGTCATTTATACAAAAACCAAAAATTATTTGGAAGCCGCCATCTTGAATTTATAAATTTTAACAAAAAAATCATGATCTCCGACCTCAAAAACCCTCACTTACCAATTTTGAATGGAATCGGACCAAATCTTGTCCGCCATCTTGGAGCAGCCATTTTTTTTAATTTCAACAAAAATTCCATGACTCCGATCAACTTGAAATTTGGCAGGTGTTCATAATTTCGGTGACAATACATTATGGAATTTTTGTTGAAATTAAAAAAAATGGCTGCTCCAAGATGGCGGACAAGATTTGGTCCGATTCCATTCAAAATTGGTAAGTGGGGGTTTTTGAGGTCGGAGATCATGATTTTTTTGTTAAAATTTATAAATTCAAGATGGTAGCTTCCAAATAATTTTTTGTCTTTGTATAAATGACGATCACTCCGTTGTTATTAACACAAAACTATTACTGCGACATATCATCTGTAAGAGAAAAAAGTTATTTGTAATTAAGTCATAATGAGCTATGACCTACATTTGAAAAACTAAAGTTGGTGCTGATATCTCAAATTCTAGAAGAGTTGGTATAAATTTCATATTTTTTTCGAAATCACTTTGAAAAACGGCCATGAGAATGTGAAATTCCTATTTGAATATTTTCATAAATAAAGAAGTTACGGATGAGAAATGAAAATGATCAAAATCTGTTTTTTGCGTATAAAACAAAAACGAATAGATTTTATCAAAATATTTTTTCACATTATAGTTAGCCTTGACAAACTCCACATTTGGTGTCATTTAACCGACCTCGTATCTCTCACCGTTAAAAAGATACCCATGGTGAGCATGGTAAGTGGGACACACTGTATATTCAAAAACAAGTTATCCATCCCGAGAATAATGAATGAAATACAGATCAAGCAAGTATGTGAATCTTGAAGGCTTCCCTGATCAAAACAAAAGTACTCAACTGAGATGCTCCAGCATGGGTATGAAATGCCAACTCTGCCGAAATCGGAAACAAATCAGGTATGCGTCCCAAACCAAATAACCAATCGTAACAATGTTGTTTACTCTTGATGACATCTAGAACATCCTTTTTAGTTCCTAGGAGCTGAAGTTCAACTTTAGCTCCTAGGAACTAAAGTTCAACTTAAGCTCCTAGGAACTAAATATGTTGCCTAGCAAAATTCCAATTTTTGTCAATTCAAGAGCTGATTTTGAAAGAATTACAAAATCTAATTTAAAATATAAAATGTTCATATTATGCAAGGTGTTTGTTGTCAAACTCCTCCGAAACGGCTTGACCGATTCTAATGAAGATTTTGGTGCGTATTCGGTAGGTATGAGAATCGGTCATAAGCCATTTTTTAAATTGAAAATCCAAGATGGCGGTTTCAACATGGCGGACCAGTTTTGTAATTATGATCCGTTTCTATTCAAAACTGGTATCTGGGTGTTGTCGAGGTCCGAAATAATGAATTTTTTCGTCAAAATTTTGAAATTCAAGATGGCGGATCCAATATATGGTGAACGAGTTTTATAATTATGATTCGATTTCATTCAAAATTTGTATCTGGGGTTTTTTTGGGGTCGGAGATTATGATTCTTCCGTTAAAATTTGGAAATTCAAAATGGCGAATTCAATATGACAGACGAGTTTTGTAATTATCATTCTATTCAAAATATGTATCTGGGGGTTTTCGGGGTCAGAGATTATGATTCTTTCATCTAAGTTTGAAAATTCAATATGACAGAACCAATATGGCGGACGAGTTCTGTGATTATAATCCGATTCTATTCAAAATTGGTATCTGGGGATTTTCGGGGCTGGAGAGTATGATTCGTTCGTCAGAATTAGGAAATTAAAATCCGATATGGCAGACAAATTTTGTAATTATGTGGTCTGATTCTATTCAAAATTTGAAACTGGTGGTTTCGGGATCGAAGATTATGATTTTTTCTTCAAAATTGGAAAATTCAAGATGGCGGATCCAATAAGGCGAACGAGCTTTGTAACAAATAGTAGTTTGAAAAATTATAATGAAACACGCTTTCATAGATAGCCACACTTGCAATGGTCCGTTAGTTTCTGTGAATGAACACTCGGTATCAAAAAGGTAGATTGAAGGGGTTGTCAAGGGAGACAAAAAGAAAAGAAATAAAAAAAGAAAAAGGGATTTTGGAAAAAGAGAGAATCCTATTTTTTTAAAGAATTCTGATTTGAAAATCAGCAAGAATAACATTATTGAACATATCAACACGAGAGCTTCCACTGTATCAACTTGCGTTGATTGTACCAGCCTTATATAGGAATATAGATGGAAATGTAGATGATCCTGATTCTCAATCCTGATCCTTTACGTATATACTCTAACATCGGAATAATAATCGTATATGGAAGGTTGGGATGGTTCTAATTTGAAAATAACATTGAGTACATCTGAGAGCAGGTAGGAGACACTTCCAATTTGAATATCCAGTATTAAGAGAGAGGCGCAGTTCCGAAAGAGAGCCAGGTCCATTTCAAGACGTCAGTCAATTGAATTCTTCAGGAATATAAATTTTGAGATTTTCGATCTAATTTGTAAAGGATTCTGGCCTGAATTTCTATTGATTTATCAATCTCGAATCAATTCATATAATTTCATGTCACTGTAATTTGCGCATTGTCAGTCGTTGTAACTACCGAGTGTTCATTATATGTTGTATTACTGTGAAGTGCACCGTTTATTTGTGGAATTTAAATGATATACCCTGAGATCGTTACACACTCGATGTCACGATGCCAAACTAAATAAAAGAAGTAGAAAATAGATAGTATAGTTTATAAAACTATATAGATATAGATTTTCGATCTATTAATAAGTAGAAAATAAATAGTAGTTTGAAAAACTAAAGGAACACGTTTTTGTGGATAGCCAAACTGGAATATCTTATTTCAATAGTTTTCATTGTGTGAATTCAGTCAATCCTATCAGGCATTGTTTGCCATTACAGTATGTAAATAAATGAATCACATTATTGCAGATTATTATTTCAAGAACATAACAAGTATCTAAGTCAAAACTACTAATTGCAGAATAATGATGAAGTTCCATCGTTCTGATTGATCTGTACTCATCTATTCGAAACGCCCGCCAATGAACTCAATATGAACACCTGGACCTAACCTAACCTAACCTAACCTCTGTCTCTTTCACACTCGTGTTGTTTAATGACGGATTGGTATATAAATTTTCTTCTATGCAATGATTGGAGTACTTGAGATCCTTTTTTATTCCTAACAGGTAAAAAGTGGAGACAGAACTTCATTGTTGTTTGTTAGGTGGAATAT